AACTTCAACATTAATGTAAAACTGAGAAACTGGTTGCACTAATAGCTAGTGAATATGACTTGCATCTGTTTGCTGCTATCAAGTCATTTCTGTTTAGCTATATTTCCACTCTGTTTTACTACAACGCAGAATTTTAGTAGATTGCTGCTAAGTATTAGAATATTCTGCGTGTTCTCACTGACTGATAGGAACTTTGATGAACCTGATCATTTTGCAGCATCTTAATTTGCTTTTCAGTAATCTTATTGTACTGATAATGTAGAATTTGTGCCTTTTTCAAGTTCTCCATCTCTTTTGGCTTAAGCCACGGGTTTAACTGTGAGAGCAGTTAGCAAAGATTGTTAAGAAGACACAGTGAACTGCAGTCTATTGATTTTTTTTTTTTTCATTCTCCCCTACTAGTGGCCTAATAGACCTTTAGTATTTCATGAAGACTGGCAGTAAGTCCTTCTTCTTCTTTGCCCATCTCAGATGCTGGTGCTATTCTGACACTCAGGAAGTCTGTTCTCCTTGCAAGTACCTCATGCGAATATGTACAATGAAGACCATACAGGAAGAAGTCATCTTATTTCATTTTTCTCCTATCAGCGTTCACTGTTTCATTTACCATAACAGAATGTAGATTTATCCAACATATATCCTTCCTCATTACTTTTTTTCACTCTTAGTCAAAAGCCATTTTGTGGTAAGCTGTTTTATTTTATGCCTCCTCCTTTACTATCAAGGGAAACGGTGGCTGGTTCTTAGTTCATTCTTCATAGATTTTTCTCACATTTCTGTCCTTTTATAAAGAAGTCCAGTAAATTATTTAATAGTTGTCACTCTCTCCAAATTGCTAAATTATTCGAGTTTTTGCTGATTCACAGTATTTTCTGTATGCTGTTCCTGATACCTTCACATTAAGAGGAAGCTCATCCAAATAGATAATATTGGCATAGATGTCAGCAGTGGAATGAAGACTCTTTGCAGTGTGTTCATATTATTTGGGAATTTCACTTGACATCTTAATTTCACTATGAGCTCCTCATAGTATTTTCTGCCATTACAGTTGTTCACCTTTGTTTTGGTCTGTTGTCCACTCTCCAACAGACATACAGCTATGACAAACCCCCACATCACATTTTTTAGTACATGGGCTCTTGTTCCTGCTAAGACAATATGTATTTTTTGTGTTTAGCAGATTTACTGTTTATTTGAATGAGCTGGACAACAATTTTTTTTCTTGTATAGAATGGTTAATGCAGAAAGAGTAAAAATGCAAAAAAAAAAAAAAAAAAAGGCATCACAAGGAGCTTTGTTATCCTTTTAGGCAGATATTAAAAGGCTGCTTTTTTGGCACGCTTTATCTTGAATTGCACTTTTTTCTATTTTCTTGGGCCTGGCTACCTGTTAATATCCTTTCCAAGTCTATTCTTTCTCTTTCCCGCTCTTCTAAAGGCATCTGCTGCTCTCCAAATAATTTTTAGGCCATTCAAATACTCATAAAACATACAAGGCCAACATTCAAATCCTTTGTAGATGGGACATACCTGAAAACTCTTAATTGTACTTGGAGGCACACCTATAAGGAGTCAGGTCCTGTACAAACATCTAGTAAATGACAATATTGCTCCAGCAAACTTTCGGGGCAAGAAAATGACTCGCAGCGACTCCTGTGAGTCTATGGGAAAACCAGCCTAGCAGAGGAGGGGGCAAGTGCGGCTATCTGAAAGAATTCCTCCTTTCAGAGAACAAGCAGTGCTTTCACACTAGATACTTAGCCATGGCACACAGTATACGGATTACATCAGGTCCATTTGCCTTCTTTAATTATTTTTAAAAACAAAAGCATAAAAAATTTCACTTCTGAATTTGATTTTTTTCGAGAGTAAAAGCACAAATAATAAAGACATTATGAAGCAAGCAACAGGAGCTTGTGGGAAGCAACAGCACTGGTTCTTAGAAAACCTGGAACAGTAGCATGCTGTTCTGTTGGTATTAATGAATAGTTGTGTGAGACATACAAAAAGCCAGTATTTAAAATATATTCTGCAATGGAGAATATTCTGCACACGAGAATCAACAGTATTCCAAACAAATATGGATATATTAGTGTATCTAGATATTACTAACAAATATGACACATTTGCAAATGGTATAATTGGAAGAGCATGTACAAGCTAAAAATACATACCATGGTTGTTTCAGAAAAGCAGCCATTTACACTTCTAACATGTAAAAAAACATGTCATTTCTGTTGGCATTTATGTAATTCATACAAGTATGTAAAGAATGTAAGTGACACATTTAGCTACCTAAATGTGGGATATGGATTCCAGGTTTAGGAACAACATCCAAGCCAGACCTTCCCTTTCAGTCTGCTACAGTAACTAAATTCTTCATCTTACCCAAACACATGCCAACATGGTCTACCAGTGTATCATCCATTTTGCCAAGAGATGCAGATAGCTCAGTTACTTGTCTTAACCAAGCACTCCAGAATTTCATCACTAGGAATCCTGCCACAGCAGCTGCTTCTGCTGCAAAGCTGTGCTCCAAAACTCAAGTTAAAAAAAAAAGACCAACTGAATTGTTTGGAACTATGAAGTATAAAGTGATGGAGCAGCACCTGCTTGAATCTGCACACAGACTGAAACGAGCTCTAAAAGAATCCAAGCCACATCAGCTTCTCAATGCAGTGGGCTGGATACAAGGGGTACTTTGTGTGGGCAACTCTCCTGTCACATAATGGCTATCCATTTTTATCCTGTGGGTATAGCAGCCACTCCTGGGACTAGGTGCTCCTTGAGTGCAACCTGAGTTCAAAAAGAAGACAAGCAGGCACAATCCTCCTTTTGTCCAGATGTGACCCACAAGCCACCAATTAGACTTTTGTGAACTGCAACATTTAGTTCAAACAGCTGTTAATTGTATTTTAACGACAGTTTAAATGATACTGCCCATCCTTTCAGAAAGGTGCAGGTCACTAATTACTTTTAGTCTGTGTGGTGCTTTACGCATGAAAAGCACTGTAAAAACGTTAAGTAACATTATTACTACTCTTAATGGCCTTCAAAGACTTCCCAGGTATCAAAACCAATTGTCTCTTGTGCATTGTGCATAGGCCCAAACTTCTGCCCTATCTGTAATCCTCTGTAATCCAACTACCCAGGTACAATGTATGTTTCTATAGCATCCTGGAAATAAATAGAAAAGAGCAGTGATTAAAATTTAATTACCTTCATTAGCTAACACTATACAAATGTTAATAAAATATACTAGTAGCTAAAATTCTTAGGACGTACCAGCTTCAGGATGTTTTACTTTAAACATTAGCTTAATCAAACTGAACCTGTGACAAAAACTTGATCAGGATGTTTGTCAGAATTACAAGTACGAATCAGCCGCGTGCCAATTTGCAGCAGGCATTATTTCTTTCCTAATTGTTCCACCCATGCCCGTGTGCTGGAGGACCCTGGTGTTGCACGGCACGAAAGCCTGCTGTGCTCCTGCCTCGCACCGTACCGTGCCTGAGCTGTACTGTGCCTCCAATTGCCGAGATTTCGGTTTCCGAGGCTGGCAAGTCAGTACCTGCCAGGAGCATTAAATTCCTTTTAGAATGTTTACTTGTATTTTGTACAAGTTGCCCATAGTCTGCTGAGGAATCCATTCTCCAGAAAAAATATTTAGAGTGCAAGTCACAGGTTTCCCCGTCAGAAATTCAGCCAAAGCACACTGAATCTGCAAACCACTGACAACATAGCGGTGGTCAAGATGTTTATACATAAAACACTGTATCAGTGAGAGTAAAGTACACAACTTGCCTGTGTAATAGATATCTAGTAATGAAATGGAAAAGCTGGCTAAGCCCTTTTTAAAATACATGCTTTTAGCCTTTCATTTGAGCTCAAGAATATAGGTTAACTGTAGTGCAGTGGATTTTAAATGCAAAATCTAAGCAATTAGACTTACCAATGTAGGACGAAAAAGGAGGCTTGTTTTCTCATTGAAAAATAAAACTAATGTAAATAAATGCTAATGTTGAAATTTTTTTGCAAAGGTTTATGTGAGATTAATCCCTTTACAGTCCTAGAGCGTATTAGGTTTGACTAATCTACCCTCAATTTTATGTGAGATTGCAGACATAGAAATAGAGCTAGGAGCTAGCTCTGCTACCAGGCACACCGAAATGAGAGTGCGATAATTTATTAACACTTTACACCTGAAGCCAGTGATTTTGTGCTTGTAGTTGCATGAGCACCCGTTTGTATGAACAAGCCCCTGAAACGGCTTTAAAGGAGACATTTGGTTATGCAAAGAAGGTGGCGGGTCACAAAACACTGAGATTTGCACATGGACAGAATTCTGCAGGCAACTTTAAATACGCAGTGTTTGCAGCCATTTGAGCTGGGAGTTTTGCTTCCCACATAAGTGATCTGTCCCTCTTGCTTGGCTAATACTTCAACTGTGTTGTATGTGTAACTCTCCTTTTCCTAAGTCTTTGCAGCGAGGGTATCTTTGGAAATGAAAGGCTTGAAAGATTTTTACGTTTTGTTACTAAGTGCTGGGTTTTTTTCCTTTTGATGGTGTTGGAGTAAACAGAAGGGCAGATAATTCCTGGCTTTTCTCCTTCAGGAAGTGCTTGCTTTAACTGCCCACATGCTCTTAAAAAAAAAAAAATCCCACAATTTGCACAGAAGAGCAGACCTGAGCCGATGTTAGATACGTGCTGGCCTGGCAAGAGGTGATATTTAAACTTGTATATCCCCAGATTTTTTAATTAAAGATCTTTCAGCCGGATTTCATCCTTTTCAAAAAGGTCTGGGATATCTGTGTCCTAGTTGTGTTGCCTGACAGAATCGGTATCACCGTACACAGATGAGGTTCTCATCTTCGTGTATTCCTTTAAAGACGTATCACTCGATATTTACCCTGTGGTTTCATTGCCTTTAACGCACGTCAAAAAAAGCATTTAAAACGTGTATTTTTTGAGTAACGGTATTTCTTTTGCAACAGATGAGAAGAGTTAAAAACATATATATACTGGTCGCTTGATGACGGAAAACCTTACCTTTGACAGCAGCACAAACATGCACCCAGGCCTGCGCTCAGTGTCCTGACTGCCCTAGGACTAAACACCACGAATTAGCATAAGTTCTTGGTCTAGTTCTGAGAAAGAAAGAAAGAAAGGGAGGGGAAAAAAAAAAAAAAAGTCACGGGAAATGTAAGTATCACG